AATATAAGTAAATTTTTTAAATATTTAAAGACAAAAATAAAAAAAAAAAAAGGGGGGGGGGGGGGGGGGTCTTATTTGCAGTTACCATCCTAGTCAATGACATTACACAAACCAATTTTTTAAAATTAGTGACTAACACAAATTTGTTTTAGCCAAACATGAGTCATTAAAGCTACCTTGCAAAAACCATGGGATTCGAGGGTGCCTTACACCTTTCCCCGGTCAGCAAGATTCTTTACCCGATCACTTAATTTCTTAGACAAAAATATAAAAATATAGAATCATTTTATTTTTAGAATTCATTTAGTGACTTGGAACACCAAAAATTCAATTTCAAGTGGCATCTATAAAACTAACAAATTCTTTTTCTTATTTTTATTTTCAAAACCATCATATTCGATTGAAAAGGGGTGTGACAGATCTACCGACTCCGCTGGGGAATTAATATTATTCGAGCTTTGTACATTGATTTTTGTTTCATTTTATTTATTGATCGGATACATATTGTGTTTGATGGCTAACATGCACTTTGTTGATTTACTGCTTTAATATTGTGTGATTGTATATATAAATTATCTTTTCTCACGCAGCCTTTTGAGTCTCTAGAACATTTATAGTACATTGTGTGCAAATATGCTTCATAGAACTTTTGTCTGAGATGAGCTAGTGTACGGTTAAGCTCCTGGTTGAGGATTTCAATCACATATGTTAGGCGGGGTTGAACCACCAGTTAAGCCAGAAATAGCTCTGCTACCGTAAAGCTGGCCCTCTCCGGCTCGAGTTTTACATTCGAGTAAGCTAGTCTAGACACATTTTCATAAAGAGTGATAAACCTGGCAGAACAACCAACAAATAATTTTCCGAGTAGGCTACGTTTTTTATGAATTTGAGGTAAGTGACATAAGAAAATCTTTGAAGAAACATAATCGATTTTGTGGGATTTTAGCTTTAACGACAATAAGACCAGGAGAGCTATCTCATGAAATTTTATATATCCCTCATACTGCAAGAAGGGGATTGTACTTGCCAAGGATGAGTCTATACACATCATCTTTTTCTGAAGTTGATCCACTAGCTAGGTCATTTTAGACAATGGTATGGGATCGTGTAGTTTGGGACTATAGGTGGCTACTACAGACTACCCTATTTGCCTCCATCTCAAAGCCCTCTCGATGCTAAGTCTAAATTCCAAAAGAATAGATAAAAGTTAAATATCAATATAACATAGGAAAGACAATGATCAATACCAATCCACATCTTAAAGATCAAAACATAGAATAACTCCTTAAATTACAATTCAATAATAGGTGAGGAAACATTTCACCAATGTGAATCTACACATGAGGAATATCTTTCACAATCATGATCATATTTGTATGTGAAATAACCTTTGATACTTTCATCTAAAAGCAACATATCATTAAAAAAATCATTTTCATAAGACATGCATAATCTACCAAAATTAATAGTTCCTAGGTTCATGGGTTTATCATAGGTTCATAGTTGAAAAATCATGAATCATACATGGTTCCATAAAATTTCGACTAAATATTATGTAATAATATTAAATAATACAATAGAAGACTTAATCAGCAATAAAAATCATGATTGAATGAAACTCATAGAGAATAAAGAAGAACCCTAATTTGATCAATTGAAATTGATTCGAGAAATTGAAAACCATAGGGACCCCATGGAGGAATGGACTCTATGAGAAAATACCCACATACCTTGCTAGTCAAATCCCAATATTAATGGTGAATTGATGACCTTTGAATGAACCCTAGCTTCTTCTTCTTCCTTAGGTTGAGAGGAAATTTAGGAAAATGAATTTGGTTGGGTTTTGGGGAAATAGGAGAATTGGTTTAAAGTGGGTAGTTTTAGGATCTAAAAGCTTTATATATGGCTTAGGGTAGGAGCCAAAATGACATAGTATAGGTTTAAAACATTTAGGAAAAGACCCAAAATTCCTTGAGAAATACTATTGGAACTGGTCTACGGGTAAAACATACGGACTGCAGATATTTCTACGGTCCATATTGGTCAACCGTAGACCAAGTACCGTGACCTTAAAGTTACCCAATTTTTTATGGGACCCTTCTACGGCCTGTAGGACATCCTACGGTCCATATCCACTTGATGGACCATCATGGTCAACCCACTACAAGAAAGTGGAGATACAACGATATTTTCTAAATGTCGTATTATGATGTTTAAATGTCACAAATTTGTTTACCGACATTTATTTTACATTTGGATCAAATGTCGTAAATTTTTGTGTCGGGGATTTTTTCGACATTTAGGTAATTATCGGGAAGAATTTATGACATTTATTTTGTGACATTTAGGTAAATGTTGAAAAGAATTTGCGTCATTTACTTTGCAATATATATGTAAATGTTGGTAAGATTGTTAGGACATTTATTTTTTTACATTTATGTGAATGTCGATAAGAAATATATGACATTTATTTTTGACATTTAGGTGAATGTCAGTATGAGATATATGACATTTATTTTCGATATTTAGGTAAATGTTAGTATGAGATATATGACGTTTATTTTCGACATTTAGGTAAATGTCGATATGACATATATATGACATTTATTTTCAATAATAAGGTAAATGTTTGTATGAGATATATAACATTTATTTTTGACATTTACGTAAATGTCGATATGAAATATATGACATTTATTTTTGACATTTAAGTAAATATCGATATGAGATATATGACATTTATTTTTTCGACATTTATGAAATGTCACTTAAAGTTTCTTACATTTAGATTAAATGTTGGTAAAACAAATTTCAAGACACTTACTTGTGACATTTATAAAATGTCACATTGAATTTTCTGATACTTTAGTTAATGTCAACAATTGCTATTATTGAATGTCATAAAAATTGGTGACATTATTTTATATTTTACTAAATATCATATTAATATTCTGATGTCGCTACCAAATTTCTTTAAACATCCCAGAAAAATCTATATATAGTTTTTCTCAAGACACATACATACAAACAATCCGTGCATTCAAAACTATCTTCTTCATGATAAGCAAGAAATATTATATAAAGCAAATATTTTCTAATATTATAATCAAATAACAAAATAGAAATATAATAAGTTTTCTGTAGAAGTAAGCAATGTCAACACAAATTATCTTTTCTATCTCAAGTAAAATTGAGATCTAACTAAATGTAATAATCTCAACATAAAACCAACTAATTAACTCCTAATTAAAATGGAATTAAAATCTCCAGTAAATTTGCAATAAATCTTTATGAAATCATCAATCCAAAAGTCGAGCATGTTGAAGTCGATACTTGACCTCAATTTCCTTAAAAAATCTGCACAAGAAATGCACATAAGAAAATCTATAGCTATATAATAATAGAAATTAGATCCCCATTAACTAGAACAATTTGGGATATAAAAAGGGACTAATTGAATTTTTCAACACAAATATTAAAAAATTGATGCAAAAGCAGTAATTATATACATGAAATTTTTCTCCTTTTGAAAGAAAAGAAAGATCTTGTAGTTTTTTTCAAACATACCCACTTCTTTTTATTTGTGCCAACTACGGTAGTTCCAGTCTTCTTGATCATGTTAGCCTAAGAAAAAACATTAAATTGATTATTTTGATACTTCACGAAATACAAAACTTAACGTTTCATTGAATACATAAGTGTGCCAGATTTCTAGAAGGAAGATAAAAAAAAAGGAAGATACGTGATTGCTTCAACAAAACAAACATATGGTTCTAGGACAAAGAAACAAACATCTTATAATGCAACTAACAGTGTGATAGCATTAATATGCATTCACATTGTGTATGTTGTTTATTGTAATGTGAATGCATATTAATCAATTTGGTCAAACAATATAAGACTTCCAGAACACGGTCTCTAATCAGAAACCAAGGAAAAACATAATCAATTTGGTTCAAGGGAAACAGTGGATGTTATCTTATGGTTGTACTTTGGACTAGAAGCTCTCAAACAAATAATAGCTCTACAATTCTTACATCTCAAAGAAACATGGAAATTGTCTCAAAGATTGGTTTTGATTAGCAAAAAGACAACTAGAAGTACACATGATCTATAATTTTGAGAAATACTGGTGTAGCTAAGTCAAAGAACCAAAAAGAGAGTAGGCAAAGGACAACAAAATAGAATCAAAGAATTGTAATCGACCCTAAGTAAAGCTCTATGTAAAGCACGGGCAGCCATCTGACATCTGCAACTTCGATTTGTAATTGGTTCATAATTTTTGGAAATTCAGACAAGGTATTTTGTATTAGAAATGCTTTAGCAACAACTAATATTTGCTTCTTGAATATAACAATTGAAGTAGCCAGAGGTACTTCACCAAATTGGTACTCTTTAAGAATAAAGCCAACTTTGGTAAGCACATTCTCAGTAACTGTTGGTTAGGTCTGCTAACATAGATTAGACTCATATTTAACTATCTTGAGTTAAGCACAGGAATATTAAACAAACTTAACTGAAGCCGCACAAGAAATTCCCAGAAAAGTCACAGTCATACAGGTAAAAATATTATTACTCATAATTCTTATATTGATCTTGTTGAACCAGATCTGCCAAACAGTCCAGGTACAGCAAAAAATCATCATGAAGACGAGGCAGCGGCTGATAAAACACAGGCAAACAAGTGAAATTCTTGAAAAAGTCTACATCTCTATCCCTTAACCAGGAAGAAAGTGAAATCTTCAATCTCCTTTACTTAATTGTGGTCCTATATAAGGAAAGAAGTGGACTTCTCTACCTGGTTTAGGCTTTGTAATTATTTTTATGTTCTATTAGTAGTTTAGTACTCTAAACTATTTGCACCAGTTATTCAATCTTTATTCGTGTGGTGATCTATTGATTCTGTCATTTTGATTTTTTGGTATTTATAAAATTGAGGAAATGACTTGTGTTCTAGAAGTGCTACTCTAATGATTTTGGATATGTTGGGGCTGTATAATATCATAGTTTCTTTTCCATTTTGTGTCGTGCCTACAATTTTAATATCAGATACATTTCCAGTGTCTTCTTGATAAATTTGCATCTCTTACATCTTTGCCTATGAATTCCAATGTCCTGATGTGTTTTTCCTTCCCTTATCCTTACTGTGTTAGTGTTGTGCAGCCGCCTGTATGAGGTGGGAGTTGGAAGAGTCAGGAAAGCACTTCATTACTACAATAATAAATGGTTCTGATCTGGTGCCTACATTTTCAACCGATTATATGTTACCAACCCCTATATCCCAAAATCCTCCCTCTATGCCTAATGTACTTGCAAGTATGAACAAAGAAGGAAATAACAAGGCCTCTAAGATCACAGGTATTGAATCAATGCTCCCATTACCCCTCACCCCTTTAGATAATTGTTTAACTGTTGTGGAAGTTGTTGGAGTGTTGGATGGAGGGTTGAAGGAGAACATTACTAGCTTGTAGGAAGGGGTATCCAAAGGGGGGTTTCTGCATCATGATGTACATGAGAATTTACACAGTGACCTTAAGAAAGACCCTAGAGATTCTACTACCATTTCTCATCAGACCACACAAGAGAACCAGCACAATCAGCTCATCCATCTGGGAAAGGTTTCTGGTTAGGGACACAGTAAATAGAATGATCAACAGGGTAATCTTAATACTTCTCATAACACTCAGAAAAAGAATCAGAAAAAAGAATGTTCATTAAAGAGAATAGGAACAAAACATACAACACAGTGAGGGCACAAACCAATGGCAAACTATCAACAACAAATCTCAGGGCAAACTAAGCAAAAAGAGGAGAGATGCGATCAAAAGAAGGCAACAACAAGCAGCAAGGAGAGAAGAGAATAAGGGGGAAGAGGTACAGGTTCAAGTTGGTCAAAATGAACATAGCAACACCAAAAATACGAATTATGAAATGATACAATCTAAGTATGAGTATGATCAGGACACACAATCGTTGGTGCAAGTTTTTCAATTTTGGAGGTTTAATGCATGAAAGAGTTGACTTTTGTCAACATCCGAAGATTCTGATGTCGGATCAAGATTCTATCAGTTCCATCAGCTACGGATGGGTCCTTTTGGTTTAGTGTGATGTTTGGTTTGGGTTTCGAGGCTTCTGTTTGGAGTATGTACGATTAGGCATTTTAGCTTTTTTATTTTGCCAAAGTTTGACCTTGGTCAGCTTTCTTGGTAAACGTGCTCGAACTGGAATTTTGTCAAAGTAGTTAGCTCTAGAAAGCAAAGCTTGGTCTAGAATGACCTTTGGTTTGGTTCCGGAGGTAATCGAGATAAGTATATGGCGTTTAGCATTTTTATGGTGAAAACTATAAATAATATGATAAATTAACACAATTTATAATTTCACTATACCAACTGAAAAATAACAACAACAACAACAACTAAATCCACCAACTAAACCACATTATTTATTTGAACTTATTTAAACAACTAAAAAACTATAACTCTAACTAGTTTTGACTTCATTCCAAAAACTAAATCCACCAACTAAACCACATTATATATTTGAACTTATTTAAACAACTTTAACTCTAATAACTTTTTAACTTTAACTACATTAGTTTTGACTTAATTCCAACAACTAAATCCATCAACAAAACCACATTATTTAATTTAACTTATTTAAACAGCTTAACAACTTTAACTAGTTTAGTTTTGACTTAATTCCAATAACTAAATCCACCAACTAAACCACATTATTTATTTGAACTTATTTATACAACTAAACAACTTTAACGCTAACTAGTTTTAACCTAATTCCAACAACTAAATCCGCCAACAAAACAACATTATTTATTTCAAATTATTTAAACAACTTTAACTCTAACTAGATTTGACTTAATTCCAAAACCTAAATCCACCAACTAAACCACATTATTTATTTGAACTTATTTCAATAACTAAGCTAACTACATTAGTTTTGACTTAATTCCAACAACTAAATTCACTAACTAAACCGACATTATTTATTTTAACTTATTTAAACAAACTTAACTTTTTAACTTTAACTACATTAGTTTTGACTTAATTCCAACAACTAAATCCACCAACTAAACCACATTATTTATTTGAACTTTTATAAACGAGTAAACAACTTTAACTCTAACTAGTTTTAACTTAATTCCAACAACTAAATCCACTAACTAAACCCCATTAATTAATTTAACCTATTTAAACAACTTTAACTCTTGAACTAGTTTAGTTTTGACTTAATTCCAACAACTAAATCCATCAACAAAACCACATTAATTAATTTAACTTATTTAAACAACTTAACAACTTTATAACTTTAACAACTTGACAACTTTTTAAAGCTAAGTGTCAACACTAGATGGACACAAATCGATCTTGCAAGAAAATCAATTTTGTCATCAATAGGATCAACTAGTGTTGGTACTTATGCTTAACAAATATATTATTTCTAAATTTAAAGCTAAGTGTCAACACTAGATGGACACAAATCGATCTTGCAAGAAAATCAATTTTGTCATCAATAGGATCAACTAGTGTTGGTACTCATGCTTAACAAATATATTATTTCTAAATTTAAAGCTAAGTGTCAACACTAGATGGACACAAATCGATCTTGCAAGAAAATCAATTTTGTCATCAATAGGATCAACTAGTGTTGGTACTTATGCTTAACAAATATATTATTTCTAAATTTAAAGCTAAGTGTCAACACTAGATGGACACAAATCGATCTTGCAAGAAAATCAATTTTGTCATCAATAGGATCAACTAGTGTTGGTACTTATGCTTAACAAATATATTATTTCTAAATTTAAAGCTAAGTGTCAACACTAGATGGACACAAATCGATCTTGCAAGAAAATCAATTTTGTCATCAATAGGATCAACTAGTGTTGGTACTTATGCTTAACAAATATATTATTTCTAAATTTAAAGCTAAGTGTCAACACTAGATGGACACAAATCGATCTTGCAAGAAAATCAATTTTGTCATCAATAGGATCAACTAGTGTTGGTTCATACGCTTAACAAACACATTATTCCTAAATTAAATCTTATTATCAAAACTAGATGGACACAAATCAATCTTGCGAGAAAATCAATTTTGTCATCAATAGGATCAACTAGTGTTGGTACTTATGCTTAACAAACACATTATTCCTAAATTAAAGCTTAATATCAACACTAGATGGACACAAATCGATCTTGCAAGAAAATTAATTTTGTCATCAATAGGGTCAACTAGTGTAGGTACTTACGTTAAACAAACACATTATTCCTAAATTAAAGCTTAGTATCAACACTAGATGGACACAAATCGATCTTGCAATAAAATCACCAAAGTAAACAATCACCAATGAATGAGGTCCCATTGAATCATTACCACCAAAGTAAACAATCACAAATGTAGGCTGAACAGTTGCATCCTAGAAGAGGAAAAACACCATTTTCAGAAGTCAAAAGTTAGTATATAGGAGATGTCTTGCAATACCAGATGTCCAGATGAGATATCTTTATAAAGAAAACAAGTAAGTTTCTACAGGATATTCTCAATTCTTAAAAGCTCTCCACAATAAAAATTCAAGAAGATATTGATAATGTTCTGATAGTCAGATGATATGAACCAAAAAGGGTAGCTAAGTTCTAACGCAAATAGGACTATTTCTTGGGGAAAATGATTGTTCACACAACAGTATTAAGCAGTCTTTTAACTGATAATAAAAGAAGAAGTAAGGTAGAGAGAGCATCTAATCTAACAAGCTATACTTTAACATTCACATGCATTGACCATTCAGAGATATTGGGGAGCAAGATGCAATACCTTTGGAAACACTTGAACAAGGACATGTATAGCACGCCTTGAGTTCCAACCAAAGTAACCACGCAATAATATGTCCGCCTACAGTAGAGTAAAATGTATTACTCTGTAATCTCTACTAAATCAAGACTCACTGCGTGAGTTAATGAAACTATGTATGATAGCTTAAGCCAGGATTCGCTAGTGCATGAGTGATGAGATAAATTTGTATAAGAAGTACTTTACAGTAAATGTTGAACCTGAAAACTTCAACACAAGCACTTTTAAGATCACAACAACAGAGTACTTCAAATTTCCCCAAGTAACATGGAGCCAATACCAAAACAAGGCATACAAAACAGATTGCAGTCATAAAATTCATCATCAAATGAAACTCTCATCCATTATATCTCAATTAATTTACTCCATCAAGAAAATCACTTTGAATGGACAATGCTGGAAAGGTTAAGATTTCAACACCGAGAAAAAATAGATATGTGTAACTTAACATTCAAGACCCTATGATAACTATAAAGAAAAAAAACAATGTAGCAGGGATACCTACTATTCCAAACTAGTAAAAAGAAAATAAGGATGCTTGATCTCGCACTAGTCTTCCTCTCTAGGAAGATATTTCATTATAAACACATGACACCTCACCTCATCGCCCTCCGCGCTGCTGCTGCGACCTGCTGCTGCTGCTGGGCACGACCTCTTACTGCTGCGACCTCCTGTTGCGCTGGTCGGGGATGGTGGCGTGACCTGTTACTGATCGAGGCAGCGCCGATCGGGAATTAGTGGGGGTGGGAGCCGGGTGAGGGTGGGTCGGGATGGGTGGGGGTGGGCGTAGCGTGAGAGAGGAGTGAGAGGTTTAAAAGTGAAAGAGATAACTTAGGGTTTTGCAATTATCATTTTTTTAAAAAGAAGTATTAATTTACCGACCACGGGATGTCAGTATATTTTATATCTTGGCTAGCTCACACATACCTCAACTAGTCTGTCCAGCCCAAAAGCATAGCTACTCAACAGCAAGACGGGGTGCTTTTTTTAATGAAATAAGTGAGATTTTGTTAAGGCATCCAGTAGATGCAAAGATACAAAAGATGGGGGATCTGTCAGCTAAAGAAGAACAAAAACTTTATAGAGCTAAGGAGCTGACAAAATCCAGGTAGTGATCTAAGCCTTAATTAACAAAAGAGTGGAATGGAGTAACATAAAAGATAAAATAACTTGGGATAATAAGGGAGGACACACTAGGAAGGCTTTTCTAAGGTACAAAAATACAACTCAATAATAATACACTTTATGTCAGGTAGCACATAATGATCCCCTCTCCCTTTAGAAGATCCCTAAGAGTTTGTTCTAAGGAAAACATGGAGTCGAATAGATTGTGTATAGCAAATGGGTATTAGGAGGACATATTCGGATTGGAGCCTTTTAACAGTAATAAAATAAGTACCATTTTACATTGATCTTTCCGATTGGTCTGTTGATATGTTGTCGTTATTGATCGGAGTTGGCTTAAGGTTCTCGTCGGCATTTCGCTTCATTAAGGCTCGCTGGCCACAACTCGCTGGTCGGGACGTGAAACAACAATAATGACAAGTTGTTGTTGTCGACTTCGCCGGAGGAGAACAAAGGGTTTTGCCTGCACAGGGGAGGGAAACAGTGGGGTCGCATTGTGTTGGTCCCATTCTCTGGTGGAGATGGCAAGAAGAGAGAGTGCCGCCAATCTCCACCGGTCAAGGTTGGAGTGACAGTGAATGGAGAAGAGGAAGGAGAGGGTGGTGTTGGTGGTGGTCGCTGACTCGCCAGTCGGAGCAGCGGCGACGGAGAGACAGAGGAGAGGACGGATGTAGTCACTGGTTGTGGTCGTTGTCTCGCCGGTTCTCCCTGGTCACTGGGGTGTCGCTTTTGGATGTAGTCATTTTTGGAAAAGAAGAGGGCTTGGTCTGGTATATTCGATCAAAACGGACGGACGGACAAGATTGTAATGTTGTATTGGATGAATTTAGATAGACGGTTTGTATTAAAAAGTGAGTTAGGATCTAAAATTGGCCAATTGGCCAAATGTGACTAAAATTAACATGAAATAAGATAATAAATTGGCTAGAATTGACATGACAATTGAACAGAAGAGCCTATTATTTAAATAATTTAAAGAAAGGTCAAACATATTGCTATTTAATTAATAAACATATTATATATATATATATATGTTGACAAATATAAACTGAATAATAATAACTTTTTGTATATAAAATAAATACATCAAAATATAATCACATTAAATAGATACTTAAAGCTTGAAAACTATAAAAAAAAAAATCAAATTTAGCAATCGATAAAATAATAATAATATAATAAAAATAATAATAATAATTTATTATTATTATTATTATTATTATTTCATAAATTATGAATGCTAAAGTATATAATTGACTAGATAAAAGTTAAATACAATTTTAAGCAAGTTCTAAAAATGTAAATTTAATCTAATAGCAATCCGAAAAGGGTTATAGTTCGGTCGAAATTGGGTATCAACAGCGGAGAATCGGCACAACCCTTTAAAATAAAACTAGCTTTTAAATTTTCCACTCTCTTTTTATATTGTTTTTCTGTCTCTTTTGATGTAAATTCTTTATTCTTTGAGAGTTAAAAAAGACCGACTCTTTAGAAGGGGTCTAGAACCTTTTTCCAAATCAGTGAAGAGATAGACTATTTATAAGGGAATTGGGGGGTTATGGGGTAAATTCGAGTAGGATATTTTTAAATCCTTTCAGAGGAAAATTTGTAGGTAAGGATAGGGATAAAGTAATGATGAAAAGATGAAATAAAAGAGGGATAGGGTTATCCGATTGATGTTAGAGTTAGAGATGTTTTGGAGGCGATTGATGGTGGAATTCGTCGGACAAAGCTTGAATCCTATGATTTTTGAGTTCCTCTCCTCTTTTCCAAAGTAAATTGTGGAGAAGTGACTTGGTGTGACTCAAAAAAAGGGAAAAGAGACGTGGAGGTGAGGGAGGCGGTGGGTAGATGTTTATATAGCGGTCTTTCGCACAAGATCCGACAGATTTTGGGGTGAAGGATGGTTATCTGTGAAGAAAAAGATAAGCAGTGTAAGGGAGCGCGAATGAGGAAATATGGATGTGATCATGTACGCGTTTGAGCTTGTATGTATAGATGTATGTATATTTTGTGAGGATATGAGAATTTTAGAATAAGGAATTTAAAATATAGCCAAAGAATTGTAAATTTAGCTGAATTGAGTGGCCTATTGTATTAGACATTTAGCCAACTAAATTTAAATATAGCCAAATCGAATCAATTAGCTAAATTCTATTGAAATTGAAATAAGACGATTAATTATCAATTAATTATTTGAAGTTCTTAGTTTAAACAAGACAAAATAAATATTAAGACATAGGTTATTTAATAATTATACATAATTATAAAGTCAACTAATGTAAAGAAAGTAAATACACATATTTGTACTAAACGCAACTTTTGGGCTATTTTTTAAAGGGAAAAGGGACGGATTTACCCCCGAACTTTAATAAATGGTACGTATATGCCCTCCGTTATACTTTGCGTTCACATAAGCCCTTGCCGTCCAATTTTAGGTACACATATACCCCTCTCACTAACGGACCCCTAATTTCTTACACGTGTTTTAATCCTATTGAACTACCCGTTTGACCCTTTTTTTTAACCCATAACCCAACTATCCGCCCCATAACCCAATACCCACCCAATTTCCTCTAAAAGGATCCTAATTAAAACACCAAAATCCGTCACACCAAAATCCATCCCTTTTCCCTAGTCGGAGGTCCCCGCGTATC